AGAAAAAGAAACTTGTTGAACTATTCTGTACCAAACATATACTACTGAATGAAGCCAATAATAATAATAATAATAATAATAATAATACAATATGCAGTTAATCAAAACCAAATAAACATCTTTAAATGGTAAATAAAATCAATTTACCGACTAAAAAATTTTCATCTTGTCAGTTACTAGACATCAATGTACTCTAAAAAGTAATTTAATCAATCTAATTAAGAGATTATGAAAAAGCATTTGACAGTGTAGATATGAGAACATTATGGAAACTTCTTCGACACACCGAAGTTCCTGAGAAGATTGTCAATATTATCCGGAACTCATACGACGGACTACGGTGCAAAGTAATGCATGGAGGACAGCTGACAGATGCATTCCAAATAATAACCGGAGTCAGACAAGGCTGTTTACTCTCTCCCTTCCTCTTTCTTCTGATGGTCGACTGGATTATGAGGACCTCGATATCTGAGGGAAAACACGACATACAATGGACAGCTCAAAATCAACTACACGATTTGGACTTCGCAGATGACCTAGCCCTCCTATCGCATACACACGAACAAATGCAGATGAAGACAGCCAGTGTAGCAGCAGTCTCTGCATCAGTAGGCCTCAACATACACAAAGGGAAAACCAAGGTCCTCAAATTCAAAGCGGAGAACGGCAATCTAATCACACTTGATGGCGAAACTCTGGAAGATGTAGAATCCTTCACATACCTGCGAAGCATCATCGGTGGACAAGGTGGATCAGATACAGACATAAAGGCAAGGGTTGGCAAAGCAAGAACAGCATTCCTACAATTGAAGAACATATAGTAATCAAAACAACTTTCAACCAATATCATAGTCAGAGTCTTCAATACCAACTTCAAGACAGTTCTACTGTACGGAGCTGAAACTTGGAGAACTACAACAACCATCATCAACAAGGTGCAAGTATTTATAAATAGTTGTCTACGCAATATACTCAACATCCATTGGTCCGACACCATCATCAACAGCCTTCTGTGGGAGAGAACAAACCAGCTTTCAACTGAAGAGGAAATTCGGAAAAGACGATGGAAATGGATAGGACATACATTACGGAAATCATCAAACTGGATGACAAGGCAAGTCATAGCTTGAAATTCTGAAGAAAAGCGGAAAATTGGAAGGCCAAAGAACACATTGCGTCGAGAAATAGAAGCAGATATGAAAAGGATGAATAACGATTGGAAAGAGCTGGGAAGGATTGCTTGGGACAAGGTTAGATGAGGAGTGTCGGTGGGCAGCTTATGCTCCTCCACGAGGAATAACAGGCGTAAGTAAGTAATTAAGAGACTATTAAAATATATCTATCTCAAGACATCGGAATTCATTTTGTGTTTTACTTCATTGATTTATCGCTATTTAATTTAGATTAATTAACATTTGTCATTACATCATTATTGTTTTATTAAAAGTCTTTATTCAGTATTTTATTTCGATACAATATAGAATTCTATGTACAAGGTATTTCAGCAAGTTTGTTTTACAAAAAAACAACAGCAAAAAAGAAGGGGAAGGGTTAAAAGAAAATCTGAAAAACTGTGCAACTTTCCAAATTCAAGACATGTTAAGAATGCAGGTTATTGACTAGGTTAACTCTAACATCCTCTTCGTCACATAGTATGTTTGCTAGGTAAGGTATTAGTGAACTTTTATACTTTTGCTTGTGTGCATGGATTTTATTGTAATTACGTCTCGTTCTACCAGAAGATATACAAGGAGAAAGATAAGAGTGAAGGGGATGGTTAGTATCTGATAAGATAACACCCGTCAGGCGCTTGCATGAATTTAGATGTCTATCCACAACCATATTAATTATGACCTCGAAAGGTTCACCACACACCTTGCTAACTGCCTTCAGCACTCTCCGGAATACAGCAAAGTCTTTTCTCAAAGGCCTGGGAAGGAATATTCGAGGACAGTAAAGAATAATAAGTAATATGCAAGAATTGACAAATTGTAAGAGTAAATGTCGAGTAATCCAAAGACCATGTAGTCTCTTTATGTGATAAGTCAGACGGAAATCTTTCTTCGACTACAGTAAAACGTGTGAAGACCAAGACGGTTCAGAGGAAAAGGTAACATCAAGATAATTGATCCTCGAAACTGTGTTTATCAAAGAGCCTCCAATGGCACAAGCTTTATGAGATCCCAAAGTGATGGTCAGATGCCGTTCATGTCTCATGCTAAAATTAACAGCTTGACATTTAGGCGGATTAAGTATGAGACCATTAATAACAGACCAACAATCCATAAGAGACAAAAACTCATTCATTTCTATAGGATGTAAAGAGGTAGAGATAGGCATATATTCAGTGAGATCATTCGCATCTAATTAACTTCTTTCAGTATTCTTTACTATAGAAAAGAAAATATATTGTACTTATTAAACAGAGATGTAGCTTATCATTGGAGGATAATAAGAAAACAAGCTGTACAATTAATTACATAAACATAAAACACATTAATCACTGACTAATTTCATAAAACACCATGAGGATTTAAAACAAATTTTATTACTGTCTCAGTAGTCTGGAGGTTAAACGTTCGTGTGTATGAGATTATAAAGTCCTGGGTTCCAATTCTCATAGGTCGAGATTGTGGATGAGCACTATTGAAGTGTTCCATACTAGAATGAAATGATCGTCTAGTACTTCTAGATTTTACAAAGTGATCTAGTGTCAATTAACTCATGAATTCAACTATTAAATTACTAGAATATCCACAAAACTCCCCTCTGACGATTTCTCAATTATTTTGTATAGGGATAAAGGAATTACAAAAATAGAAAAAGAGAAATTAAGAAATGATCATGGCTAATAACACTATTTCATTCATTTTAATTATGATAATAAACAGTAATGACCTAACTTGATGAATTATCATTCAACTTGAAAATAGTACGTATTCAATGCATTCAAATAAACATTCAATATTGAGATGTCAACCAAACATTTTAAAGAAAAGTGATTTCCGTTTAGTAAAAATGATCTAAATTATCATAGATGGATCAATATTGGACCATTATTGAAAACTTTGAAGCACAAGACAACCGTTTCATTTTAGTATGGGACTCCTTAGAAGTACGTATCCATGATCCCTCCTTGTGGGATTCGAACCAAGAACATTCGATCTCATACGGTTATAGAAGAGTAGTATTTTGATAACATATTAGTTTTTAATGATTTTTCACAAAGTAAAATAGTTTGCAAAGTACATGAAAACCAAAAGAATAATTCTAGTTTGAGTTGTAATATGAGTGATATCAAATGAGAGAAATTTGGGAAGTGACATTCAGTAGATAAAGAAGAAACGAATCAAACGAAGAAATGTCTTTTCAATTAGGTTTTCATCATAGCTTTACACTAATATATATAATTACATGTGCTCACTAGTGACTAGCTTCGTGAGGGAATTCTCGGAGTTCTAGTGAGAAGTCGTGATCAGTGGAGCTAATCCGTGTCGGGTAGAGACAGGTATCTACCTAAGTACAATGGAAGGTGGTCGCGCAATTTCATGGATTGGTTGATGTTAGACATTAACACCATTGGATGCCGGCTCAGTGGTCTAATGGTTAAGTGCTCAGGCGCGAAGCCAGTAGGTCCTGGGTTCGAATCCCGCGGGGTGCGGGATCGTGGATGCGCACTGCTGAGGAGTCCCACACTAGGACGAAACGGCCGTCCAGTGCTTCCAGGTTTCCAACGGTGGTCTAACGTCAATTAATTCATGATCTCAACCAAAAACTATATCGATATGATTTGCAGTAATGAAGTAATACTCATCGAGTGGATACGTTACTTAATAATGACATATCGATTATAAATTAACATTGAATAATTGGAAGAAAGAAGATTAATAATGATAATAATCAAAGTAATTATTCGGAAGTCAAGTAGTTGCTACGTTGAATAATATATGAAAAACAGAATGAACAGAATATTTTGATGAATGATCAGTAGTCTAGTCATCACGTAAGAATCAAGTGATGAATGTTGAGGAAAAGTACAAAGTTAAAAAAAAAATGGAAGAAGTACGAAAATAGTTCTGTTATAAACGCCTCTACATTGGCCATCGGTATAGGGGTGTTTGTAGCACAACTATTGTCGTACTACCTTGGTTAGTCATAACTACTATTCTACTGATCATTCATCAAAATATTCTGTTCATTCTGTTTTTCATATATTATGCAACGTAGCAACTACTTGACTTCCGAATAATTACTTTGATTATTATTATTATTATTAATCTTCTTTCTTCCAATTATTCAATGTTAATTTATAATCGATATGTCATTATTAAGTAACGTATCCACTCGATGAGTATTACTTCATTACTGCAAATCATATCGATATATATTAGTGTAAAGCTATGATGAAAATCTAATTGAAAAGACATTTCTTCCTAGTATGAGACTCGTCAACAATGCGCATCCATGATCCTGCACATGGGACTTTCGACCTGGCACACAAACGCTTAACCTCTAAATTACGAAACTGACATTATACAGTGAATCCTTCAATTACAAAATGTCAATCAATCATCTAAAACCTTATTGTTCTTCCATTTCCACATCAATCATTCTTTGTTCCCATTCTCATTTCTACAGTCTTCTTAAGTATCTGCCACCAGACATTTTACTTTCAATTGATACTACCTACTATTTCGTATCTGTTTACATCAATAGCACATACAATAGTTATATAAACACAATCTAAGAAAAATTTCGTACTTTTTAAAACCATGAGTCAATTGAAGCTAGACCACCATGGAAAACTTGAAATCAATGAACGGGACTCCTCAGCAGTGCGCATCCACGATCCCTCATCCCACGGGATGGCGGTCTACCTTCAATTGACTCATGATTTCATACAGTGAAATTTCTAATAAAAAAAAATCTCCACAAAACCTTTTCTGATAAAAAAGTTTGTAGCCAAAAATATATAAATTTTTACTTTATAAATAACTTACGTGTTCCATCAAATCGTGTTGCAATTGTATCAAGAAAAGTATTTTGTGGAGCTAATAATCCTTTTCTTTGTGGCATAATTGTTACCTTAATTTTATTTTTCTTCTTTAATACTTAACTAATACCCATTCTATTCATATCAAAATAGTTTGTATTTTATAAACAGATATGATTGTATACTTATTCATTATAAGTAATATAGTATACAAAGAATATTATACATATTCAGTGTATAGTATGCATTATAATGATTCAATAGAGATGTATTTCATGAATGTTATTAATTCTTTATCTCATTCGATGAGATAATAGAATAAAGTCTATTCCTTTCATTGAAGTAATATAACATTGAAGGTAACATTGAAGATATGTAACATTGATATACTTGATTTGTATCATGTAAATTGTATTTCCTCAATATTCAAAGGAATAATATATATTTTATGAACGATTTCAAAATGCCCATATATATATATTAATGCAATGTGACGATTATTCTTTTTCTCCCAATTTTAAGTTATGAACAGATTATGATTGGTTGATTATTGTTGACCAATCAAAATGAAATTTGGAATTAGATACTAATAATTTGGGAATAAATATTTATTTTAACGAAAAAAAAAACAAAACAAAAACAAAACAACAACTCATATTTCATGTAATCTGATTTAACAGTATAATTGAAAATAGTTTATGATTTAATTTAATCGTTGAATTCATGAGTCCATTGAAATGAGACTACCATGGAAAACTTGGAAGTATTGGATGGTTGTTTCGTCCTAGTATGGAACTCCTTATTTGTGATGGTTTCTAAGAGGTATTTTCTGGAATTCGATTGAGAACCAGTGACCAGTTGAGTTCAACCGGATCTGTTGTGAGATAGTAACTCACTGATGACAATGGTGGATGGTGGTACAATTTCTTGGATTAGTTGTAGTTAAACATTAACATTGTTGGATGCTGGTTCAGTGATCTAGAGATTAATCGTTTGCGTCCGAGACTGATATGTCCTGGGTTGGAATCTCGTGAGTTGGGGTCGTGGATGTGCACTGCTGAAGTGACCCTTACTTGGAAGAAACGGTCGTCCAATGCTTCTTGGTTTTCCGTAGTGTTTTGCTTTAATTGACTCATGAATTGAACTATTAAATTCCTATAATATCCACAAAAACCCTTATTAGTTCCGAATATAAGTGAGAAAAAAGGTATTTAAGCATCATCAAATAATAAATTAACATCCTGTTTAATTTCTAGGTGAAGTTTTGAAATGATTAGTTTTAGTCATGATACCATTTAAAATTTGGTATACAACCCCGAATCAGTATTCACACATGAGTTTTTAGTATTAGTAGCGAACAGTTGACTGTTTGAGTTACTCAATTATCAATTCATTGCACGTATTTCCAATTTCAGTCACTTTGTAATAGTGCACGACTTAGGTGAACTTCGTAGGATACAAAAAGTTAGGATCTCATTATAATGTAAGTTATCATTAAACAAGCGATTATATTTTAAATGGTGAGTGATGCTTGATGAAATTGTTGTTGCTCATCTCTGCCTAGCGGCATCGTGAGATAAACGATCTCTCTATTCCTCCTAGATGGCTATTTAGTCATAAACTATCCGTATTGTGGACACTTCCAAACATATTCACCATACAGAATTTTATTTACACAACAATTTGTGAATATTCCTATCCAGACTTCTAAAGGTCGGAAATGTTTCTTTTCACCTATGTTGTCGTCGTATGAAAAGATCAGTATAACGTTCTGTACCTGTACATAGAATTTAATAACAATTAACTGGTTTTTAGTAATGTAACATGAACTGATATTTATATTGACCTCAACCATGTATTACTTCGATGGTAGTTACGATAAAGATAAAGAGGGGAATTTTTTCCAATTTGACAGTAATTTATTCCCATATTCCCATTACTTTGAAGTATAACTCCGCCTGGAGACCCTCTGAGGCTACTGCCGGTACCTATCCCGGATAAAGAAAGAGAGTTGGGCATGGGGTTAACAATCCCATCCCCTAGAAAATTAACTCGCTTAAAAAACCGTTAATCAGAAAAATGAGCTTTGAAATACAAATCATGAAAGTGGAATTATACTTCTTTAACGAACTTAGTTGAACGCCCTATGCTCCTCCATGAGAAGTGACAGGCGTAAGTACGTATGTAAGTAAGTAAAGGACTAAGTTCTTACTAATAGTGATATAAAAATTATTATGGCTCTTATAAGTCTGTTAGTCACAATTGATTTATAACTGGGTGGTGATCAATGTCATGCGTGTTGCCATCTAATTTAGTCATATCAATCACTTATTTGAATGATCTGACGAAAACAATATCAATCTGAAGGTGAACAAAATATCTTTTTGATAGCTAGTTACTAGATTTATAAAATGGAACCGTTGTTATTGGAGAATGGAGTACTTAACCACAAATAATAATAATAGTTAAATAACTATCACTCAATATCTCGAATTCATTGACGGCTGAATTCTATCAGTCAAAATACAACATGACTGACATAAATAGACAGTTTCTTGTATAAATTTCCCTAAATAACTTGGTAATTCTTATTACATTGTCCTTAGATTACAGTCTTTTCCCATTAATTCATCGAAATTTGGATCCAGCAACCGTGAAAACTAATATTAAAACAAAAAACTTTTAATAATCCTAGAAAGAACCCGGGTAAAGTTTAATCGTCTATTGAATGAGTCAATACTTCTAATGGAAACAATAGAAAATCAATCAGAAACCTTTGAAATCCTGTAAGACTTATAAAACCAATATATTTATCTAAATTTCATAATCATTCTAGCAACAGATGATTAATTTTGAGATCCTGCTTACAAACAGACTTGAGATTAGATTGTGGTTGGAGGTAGTCGACAGGAAACCCTGATGACTCGGGTTTCGTGCTACTTGGCACTCGTCAGTATGGTATACCTGTAATCTTGAGGGAACTGGTGCTCCCTGACAGATTTGATCCCGTGTCAACTAGCTACATAGTCAGAGACATTATCATTGAGCTATGCGGGCAGCGACTGGTGGTCACATTGCAACATAGTCGATAGTATTCGATCTGCACTAAATAAGGACTTGACACGCATGACATTGGTCACTACCCAGTGATCAATCAATTGTGATTACATCTCAGTCATACAGGAGGTCGGTCACGGCCCGCATAGCTCAATGATAATGTATCTGACTATGTAGCTAGTTGACACGGGATCAAATCTGTCAGGGAGCACCAGTTCCCTCAAGATTACAGGTATACCATACTGACGAGTGCCAAGTAGCACGAAACCCGAGTCATCAGGGTTTCCTGTCGACTACCTCCAACCACAATCTAATCTCAAGTCTGTTTGTAAGCAGGATCTCAAAATTAATCATCTGTTGCTAGAATGATTATGAAATTTAGATAAATATATTGGTTTTATAAGTCTTACAGGATTTCAAAGGTTTCTGATTGATTTTCTATTGTTTCCATTAGAAGTATTGACTCATTCAATAGACGATTAAACTTTACCCGGGTTCTTTCTAGGATTATTAAAAGTTTTTTGTTTTAATATTAGTTTTCACGGTTGCTGGATCCAAATTTCGATGAATTAATGGGAAAAGACTGTAATCTAAGGACAATGTAATAAGAATTACCAAGTTATTTAGGGAAATTTATACAAGAAACTGTCTATTTATGTCAGTCATGTTGTATTTTGTCTGATCGTTTATATAGAACAAAGGAATAAGTTGCAAATTATTATTCAATTATATTTTGGATGAATTCTGAATAAGAAAGATCAAGTATTTGGTAAGTATTCATCGTCACTTTACATCATTTTTACCATAACATAGCACAATGAAATCATTATGATCAGTCTAAAGTAATTTTAGCTTAAATATTACCTATTCATAGAGCTGTTCATAAAGTAAATACTAGTTGACCTTACCATAAGTATTTCGTTTAGAATGCTGAAATGATCTACCTTGATACTGATTTGACTGATATTATAATTCTTTGTAGTTAAAGGTTTTATTATTTATATCATTTAAAAATTTCAAACAATCTTTATCTATGAGTCAATTGAAGGTAGACCACAATGAAAACCTGGAAGCAGTGGATAGCCATTTCGTCCTAGTATGGGACTCTTCAGCAATGCGCATCCATGATCCCAACCCACGAGACTCGATTTCAGGATCCATCGATCCTGCGCGCGAATGCTTAACCTGTAGACTCATAAATTCAACTAGTAAATAATTATAATATCCACAAAAACACTTCTCTGATTATAATCTTTATCTAGCTTACTGGTAAACACTAATTTCCATTAAAAATAATTCAATTACTCTATTCCACAAGATACTCAATATCCATTGACCGGATACCATCAGCAACAACTTTCTGTGGGAGAGGACAAATCAGCTTCTAGTTGAAGAAGAAATTAGTAAAAAACGTTGGGACTGGATAGGATATGCATTACGGAAATCGCCAAACTGCATCATGAAGCAAGTCCTAACATGGAATCTTTAAGGAAAGCGGAAAAGAGGAAGGTTAAAGAACATAGTAAGTCGGTAAATAGAAGCAGATATGAGAAGGATGAATAGCAACTGGAAAAGTTTGCTTGAGACAGGTTTGCATGGAGAGTGTTGTTGAGTGACCTATGCTCTTCCAAGAAGAGTGACAGGCATAAGTAAGTGCTCTATTCACTATATTCTTTTGAGATCAGTGTATGACGTAAAGCTCTAAAAATCAAGGCTTTTAATTTTAGAGTATAGTTTTTACAACCATCAGTACAATAGAAATAATAACACCCTCTTGTGTTCAAAAACTCTGATAAACATTCACCATTACAATATCTTCATAAATATTTCCATTAGTTAACAAACAGAATGTAAAATAGAATCTGACCCTGCAATAAGTTCTAAATAAGATTTAGGCTAGGCTTATTATGATAAACAAACACAGAGCTGGGGGGAAACCAATTCATTGCTTAATACAAAATTATAGAGTGCTTTCGTAGAATATAAAAACATACATTAAATACATAACTTGTATATATTCCATTTGTTGTCCTTTAAATGCTTCATGATTCTTCCAACTCTGTTGTTGTTACAGTTATATTCTGTTTTATTCAATTGAATCTTCTCAATGTTCTACTGGCATACATTCCACTTTCGATTGATGCTACATACTACTTATATCTGTCAAGATAAGTAGCATACACCACATGGTGAGACAGATGTTTGTCTTT